CAAACAATAAATTTAAAGAGGGAAAGATAAATTAAAAGGGAATACAAACATATGCACATTCAATTCGCAATCCAAGAGATTGTACTTCTATTGAATATGCATATGTAAGAAGGTATATATCAAGAGAGCAGAACAGTAAAATAGCTACAGAAATAAAAATACAATCCAAGTTATTGAATTCAAACCATAATGAGAAAAATCAAAAGTAGTTAGATTTTAATTCCTTCTAGTGATTTTAATTTGTTCAATCATCGAAAAGAGGAATGAAATATTAATGAAATACTCGAGAATTTGTTGATTTAGGGAGTAACATAACGGTACATTGGTCAACCTTTTTGAAGTAAAGCAATACGCATACGTTTACCATTCAAAGATTTGGAATTAAATTACCTAAAAATTTAAATTCTAGTATGCTGTCAAAGATTTATCAATTATTCTTTCCCAAAGGGTAACACCACTATAATAACTCATTCAACTTGGAAGAATCAGACCACATTCTTCTAGAAGTAAATAGTGTGAAAAGGCATTTCTAGAGCTTAAAGTGAAACTAATTAACTACCACCACTAAGGTCCTAATTATTCCCAAACCTTAACTAAAATATTACAGTAATGCATCCATAATAGTCTAATATGTCTGCTTATATAGCTCAAAAGAGTTTCGCAGACATCGACTGGAATCATTTTCCAAAGGAATATGTTTTGAAGACACACAAGTCACAAGATTGGGTAGAAATTTACCTACACACACAGAGAAACATTTGGGGTTGTCTCCCACCAGGAAGTAAGAGACATTTGTCAACTTCAAAGAGAGCAAAAAATTCTTTTTCAAAGTTCAAATTCACACCATTAAACGAGAGAAACACGTGTCTGGAATAAGAGAGATTAATCTGCGTCCTCTAATTTCCAAACTGATAATGAACTTCGAATTATTGGACCACACCACCACAGAAGCACAGAAGCAATGGCATAGAACAGAAGAAGAAGAAGGAAAACACATTACAATTGCAGAGAACGATAGAGAAGCTATGAGCTGGTGATGGATCAGTACCTTTCAGAGAAGGAGAAGATGAGAGAGAAACCACGAGCTGTATAGAGCTTTGAAAACGATGAGAATAACACTCGTAGTTGTGCGCATTTGAGGCAAAGGTCGGTACACCTGTTTTTTGCGGAACTATGAAAATGAGTTACAAACTTTTGAGAGAGACAGAAGAAAAGACATGTGAACAGCCACATCATCTCCTACAGGGATCCTTGTTGTTTTCATCCGTACCTTTAATATGATATGTTTATATTCCTTTCAGAAGCTGGCTCCATTTTTTTTATTTCTTTAAATTTTGGACCAAAAATGGAGTTTTTTTTTCCTACCGCATAAAGATTTTACATTGAACATATCGACCTTCTAAAAGCGTATGACTTTTTCCCTTGTCTCTTCTTAAAATAATGTATCCCCAGCATATGTATTTCTTTTTCAAAAGAAGAAAAGACTGCGACTTACTATATGCATTGTTGTTATGACCATTTTATAATTAATTTACCACTTTTAAATACGCGCTTTTTTTTTCTGGGTCAGTTAAAGCCAAAGGCACGTTAAATCATCAGGATTGCACAGTTAGGAGGCCTATGGATCCAAAATTGGCTCGGCAGCATGCTGAATCTGGAGTCCTAACCTTCTGTTTCTCGAACCACGTAGTAGCACCACTAATTGAAATTTCACTTTGCTTGAATTTCAAATGAAGGGAAGCTCTCTTGATGACTTTTGACTTATTTATTTACAAGAATCAAATTCAACACCAACTCCTTGAAAGAATAAATAATTTCTTCTCTTTCATTTTAAATGTAAGAATTTAGTCGATTTGTTTCTTTTAATTAGGAAAAATGAGTAATTTCAAATACAAGTAATTAAAATAGATATTTTAGAGAAGCCTATATAAATTTTTTACAAATAATTTATTTAACTACTTTGGAGGGGATAACCATTTGACAGTTGTTTCTTGATAAGGGCCCTTGTGTCTCTTAGCTAGTTTGTTATTGGCCATTAGTAGCTGCTAGCTGTTAATGACTTGAGTTAGATTCATCACGTGACAAAAACCATTAATTATTTTATTAATTAACAGGAGGAAAATACAGAAACCGGAGTCCTTGACGTTCATAAGCAAAACACAAAACCAAGGGACTTGCTTTTAATTCATTAATTAAGGAACACCAAACAAGTAGGGACTCAGAAGTCAGAACAACCTCCGACTTCATGGTTGGCGGGCTTCATCATGAACTGCTTCTCGCGGAATAAGCGTGCGGAAAGACCAAGAAAAAATGTTATGGCTCTCAACGAAATCCCCAGTGGCCGCAGACAACCCAATTCTGACATATTCCGCCAGACATCCTTCATGTCAAAGATTGCGACAGTGACACAAACGTTGGAGTTTGAACATCAGGATAACCAATCGACACATTCATTGTTTTGGTCTTATATTCATATGAAATACGAGCATTGCCTATTGAACCTGGTGGCACGACATCGATAGGCCAACGATCAGTATTCACTGACATAAGAGTGTTATAATCAATTCCTACGTGAGGAAATGGAGGGTCCCAATCTTCGTTACCGAAGCTGTCTAGCTCTACGGCTAATATGCTATTTTGTGAGTAATTCAAGGCAGTGTCAGGACTGAATAATCCAAGAAAGCCGCCTGATGAATTCGCAGGGAGACTAAGGGCGGCATCTATCGGCTCCATGAAGAAGGTCAAGCCGTCGCCGCGACGGTCAGAACCGCCGGAAGATACAGCGAAGGAGAAGTTGGTGGTGATGAAATCTGCAACTTCACCGGTGTCACTATCCCAGAGATGGATCGGTGTTGAGTACACAGCTCGTCCAGCGCTGTGGGGCATTGAAAGGTTATTTGTAATATCCGTTTTGGTGAGAAGGATCTGTGAAGCGTATGGAGCGGCATCGCCCTGTAAGATTATGGAGGGTGGTACGCCATCCTTGAAATCGAAGCTGAAGGATACTGATTCTGATGAGATGATTGTGTGGAGCAGCAAGAGGACGAGGCGATGACGGTAATCTTCATAGCCATGGTTGATTACTGGACAGTTAGAGATATTTGTAGTTCGATATACAAGGAAATAGAAGCAGCCATATATGTGTGTGTGTGCGCGCGCGCGCGCCCCTCCTGGCCTGCTAGATGTTGTAAGAAGACAAAAAGAAACAAAGAACCCACACTGTACAAAAGTTGCTATAGATGGTTCCAATGAATGGAAAAGCCTATGCTTCTTGTCATAAAAAGTTAAATACATTCCTATAGTAGCTCTATTGACCACCGGCTTCGATCTTTGACCAATAAAATTTGTTCTAGAGATCGCAGCAAAAGCTAGCATAGTGCAGCATCTGGATATGCTAAGGGAAAATTACACATAGGTCCCACACAAGATAATTAATTCAAAAAAGTCCTGGAAATTTCAAAATGATTCCTAAGTCCTAGGGACCTATGTGTAATAAATTGAAATTAATAGAATTATCTATTTATCCCATTAATTTATTGTAGTAATTTATTTACAACCTCAATAGTGACTGTTGACAACCTGAAGAGAAGTTAATAACCTCGGCAGTGCCCCTAACAACTCACTCTGTGGGATACCAGGGGTATTGTCTAGGTTGTTAACAATCACTGTTGAGGTTGTAAATAAATGGGGATAAATAGATAATTTCACAATTACAATTTATTACACACAGGTCCCTGGAGACTTATGAGATTTCGAGGGACTTTTGTGAATTAATTGTCTTGTGTGAGACCTGAGTGTAATTTTCCATGTCTTGTGTGAGACCTGAGTGAATTAAAACATTCCATCCTAAAATAAAGCGTCGTTACTAAAAAGAGTAGATATACTATACAATGACATATACACACACATCCCTCTGCTCCACTAGGTATCCTTTCCGTCTTGCCAATTAAATTTTGATCGTAAAATAGGGGAATCCACGTACCCACCCACTTTGATCCTTAAGAGTGTAAAATAAACCCACATCCTCTATGAAAGAGGTGCGATCTGCCGTATTGAACCAAAACATTCTTGGCAGCACCGACTAATTGAAATTTCGCTTTGCTTGAATCTCAAATGAAGAGAAGCTCTCTCGGTGATTACTTATTTACAAGAATCAATTTTAACACTTGCTTTTTGAGGGAATAAATAATCAATCTCTTCCCTAATAATATAATATATTATACATAGTACTCATCACCCTGATCCTAAATATAAAATTTAATTTAGTATTTGGTTTACTTGGATTTGAGATGTATGAAGATATATGAACTTCAATTCATTTAATCTCCTAGATGTATAATTTTTTCCTCAACTCTCCCTGTTAATCGCATATATTAAGGTCTTTTTAAGGGAAAAATTCCTAATGTAAATATTAAAATAAATACTTTAAAGAAGCAAGTAATTTTTTTAAAAAAAAATAATATAATTAATTTTTAATATTCATAAGTTAATTATCCAACTTCTAATTTTTACATTTTTATCAATCACGGGGTATGTCATTTGAGAGTTGTTTCTCAATAAGAGTCCTTGGGTCTCTAAGCAAGTTTGTTATTGGCCATTACAATAGTTGCAAGCTATTACTACCTTTAGTCCTTAATATAATAACATATGCTACATATCAATTTATAAGTGAGGTAAATTAACTTTAAAAATAATATATGTAAATACTTTGAAGCCATTTAGTAATTTTTTAATTCAAAATTAGTCAATTGGGTCTTTTATTAAAAATAGAAGGTAGTACTATATATAGCGCTGACTCTTAATAATGACTCGAGTAGTTCATGCAACAAAAATCATGATTTATTTTATTAATTAATCTAAACAAAGTACAGAAACCGGAGCCCTTCACGCCATTGTAAGCAAAACACTAAAGTTGGAGACTTGTTCTGGACTCGCTTTTATTAAGGGAACACAAAACGAATAGAGACTCAGAACAACCTCAGACTTGGTGGTCGGCTTCATCACGGACTACTTTCTTCTGCAAGAAACGAACGGAATGACCAAGCAAAAAGGTTGTGGGTCTCAATCAAAGCCCCAGTGGCTGCGGAGAAACCCAATTCTAACGTATTCCGGCAAAACATCCTCAACTCAATAACTCGCGACAGTGACACCAACGTTGGAGGATTAGCACCAGGGTAACCCATCGATACACTCAGTGTTTTGGTCTTAGATTCATATGAAATGCGAACATTCCATACTGAACCTAGTGCTGTGTCATGAATTGGCCAACTCGTAATGTTCACTGACATAAGAGAGTTCACATCAATTCCTACGTGAGGAAATGGAGGGTCCCACTCGTTGCTGAAGGTGTCTAGTTCTACGGCCAATATGCCATTCTGTGGGGGACTGAAGGCCGTCTCAGGACTGAATAGTCCGAATAAGCCGCCTGTTGAATTTTCAGGGACACGAACGGCGTCAGTACCGGCGCCATGAAGAAGGTCAAGCCGTCGCCACGAAGTCAGACAGGACCGGTAGACACAGAGAAGTAGAACTCGGTGGTGAAGTCT